CATCATCCGCATCATCATCCTCATCCTCATTCTCATCACCATCAGCATCATCATCATCATCATCATCATCGTCGTCATCATCCTCATCATCATCCTCATCCTCATCCTCATCCTCCTCATCATCATCATCATCATCATCATCATCATCAGCATGCTCTCTCCTCCTCGTTCTCCTCCTACTCCTCCTCCTCCCCCTGTTCCCTCCTCCTCCTCCTCCTCCTCCTCCTGCTCCTCATCCTCCTCTCTCTTCTCCTCCCTGACGCAATCGGCAAAGTGTAAGGCTGGACTGGGAATTACGATCAGAAGAGAAACAGGAGCCACCGCCACCGAGAGCCCATCTGAGCATCGATTAACTGATACCCATCCCCACTGGCTTGGCCTTTGCCCCACTGGCCGAATCATCCCCCGAAGTGGGGATAGATGCTATTCCCGTCAGGTGTCGCGGGGCCTATCCCCCCCTGGGGGATGTCCAGGTTGGACTGAGATACCCGGGATGGAGATCGATTTGACGATGCTGACCATCGAGGAGGGGTCGGCGCCCCCGATTGCCCATCGTCCACCTCCTCATCCTCCTCCTCCTCCTCCTCCGCCTCCTCCTCCTCCTCCTCCTCCTCCTCCTCCTCCTCTTCCTCCTCCTCCTCGTTCTCCTCATCCTCTTCATCCCCCTCCTCCTCATCAACCCCCTCATCCTGCTCCTCCTCGACCCCCTCCTCCTCCTCATCACCACTACCACCACCACCACCACCATCAGCATCAGCATCCGCATCAGCATCATCATCATCATCATCATCATCATCATCATCATCATCGTCATCATCATCATCATCATCATCATCGTCATCATCATCATCATCATCATCATCATCATCATCATCATCATCATCATCATCATCATCATCACAGCTCTCCACCTCCCGCTTCTCCATATCCCGCTCCTCCACCTCCACAGCTCTCCAGATCCCGCTTCTGCAGATCCTCTTGTACCTCCTCCTCCTCCACATCCTGCTTCTCCTCCTCCTCCTCATCCTCCTCATCCTCATCATCATCATCAGCATCATCGGAATCATCCTCCTCCTCATCCGCATCCTCATCATCATCATCATCATCATCATCATCATCATCATCATCAGCATCATCAGAATCATCATCATCATCATCAGCAGCATCAGCATCAGCACCATCATCACCATCATCATCATCATCATCATCGTCATCACCATCAACAACGGTCTCATCATCATCGTCATCATCGTCATCATCATCATCATCAGCTTCGTAATCATCATCATCATCATCATCATCATCATCATCAGCATCATCATCAGCATCATCGTCATCATCCTCATCATCAGCATCATCATCAGCATCAGCAGGCAGCATCATGGGCATCAGTACCAGCATCATCACCAACCTCAGCATCATCATCAGCAGCAGCATCATCATCACCACCAGCACCATCATCATCATCACCACCACCATCATCCTCATCATCAGCATCATCATCATCAGTGTCAGCATCAGCATCATCAGCATCATCATCATCGTCATCATCGTTACTAGTATATTTACAATTGGTATCATTATCATCCCAACCGCCACCAGCACCATCACCATCACCATCATCATGATCAGCGGCAGCGGCAGCGGCAGCAGCAACATCAGCATCATCATCAACAGCAGCATCAGCATCATCATCAGAATCATCATCCTCCTCATCACCACAATAATCCACGTCATCATCAGCATTATCAACATCATCAGCATCATCATCAGCATCGACAACATCAACAGCACCATCATCATCATCAGCATCATCATCATCATCATCAGCCAGCATCTCATTACCAGCATCATTATCATCAGCAGCAGCAGTATCAGCATCATCATCAGCATCATCAGCAGCATCATCACAACCATCATCATCATCATCATCATCATCATCATCATCATCATCATCATCGTCGTCATCATCATCGTCATCATCATCAGAATCGTCATCATCAGCATCATCATCCTCGTCGTCGTCGTCGCCATCATCATCCTTTTCGTCGTCATCATAATTATGATCATCCTCATCATCATCATCATCATCATCATCATCATCAACATCATCATCAACATCATCATTAGCATCATCATCATCATCATCATCATCATCATCATCATCATCATCGTCAACATCAGCAGCATCAGTGTCATCACCATCATCATCATCATCATCATCATCATCATCATCATCATCATCATCATCAGTATCATCATCAGCATCATCGTCAATATCAGCAGCATCATCATCATCATCACCACCCCACCACAACAAACATCATGTTCCTATGCCTTCGAGCACCGGGTCATGGATGGCAGCCGAGACACGCGTGTTGTGAAAGATCTCTCTACACAGCGGGGTGGCTCGCCCACCGCACAAAAGCCTGAAGACACTCGATGGCACGCCTCAGGGTCAACCGTTCACTGCTCCTCCGTGTTCTCCTCCTCCGCCCCCTCCTCCTCGGCTCTCATCAGCATCAGCATCATCAGCATCATCATCGTCATCATCATCATCATCATCATCACCACCATCATCATCATCATCATCATCATCATCATCATCATCATCAGCCTCAGCATCATCCTCGTCATCGTCAACATCTCCATGCTTAGCTTCATATTTATATTCGTACTCATCTTCACAATCATCATCATCGCCAGCATCATCATCATCATCATCATCATCATCATCATCATCATCATCATCATCATCATCATCATCATCATCATCAACCACGTCGTCGTCATCATCAGCATCATCATCAACATCGTCACCAGCAGCAACAGCAGCATAAGCATCAGCATCAGCACCAGCATCATCAAAACCATGGCCATCCTCGACAAAACCATCAGCACCACAACCACTACAATGATCATCAGAATCGTCATCGTCATCATCATCATCATCATCATCATCATCATCATCATCATCATCATCATCATCATGAGCATCAGCAGCATCATCATCATCATCATCATCATCGTCATCGTCACCGTCGTCGTCGGCGGCGTCATCGTCACCGTCATCGTCATCGTCCTCGTCATCGTCGTCGTCATCATCATCAGCATCATCATCTGCAGCAGCGTCATCATTATCATCATCGTCATCAGCATCAACATCAGCAGCATCAGCATCATCCTTACCATGTTCACCATCATCTTTATCAACCACATCAACAACCACCAAATCATCAGCACCATCATCGTCGTCATAACCATCATCATCATCAGCAGCAGCAGCATCATCAGCAGCAGTATCATCATCATCATCCTCATCATCATCATCAGAATCAACAACAGCAACAACAACAACAACATCAACATAATCACCATCAGCATCAGCATCATCATCAGCATCATCATCCTGCTCCATCTCCTCCTCCGCCTCCTCTTCTTCCTCATCATCATTATCAGAATCATCATCATCATCATCATCAGCAGCAGCAGCAGCAGCCTCCTCCTCCTTCTCCTCCTCATCCTCCTCGTCCTGGTGTCGTCGTCACCATCCTCGTCATCATCGTCATCATCGTCCTCCTCATTACCTTCGCACCCCTCCTCCTCGTCATCCTCCTCATCCTCGTCCTCGTCCTCATCATCATCGTCGTCCCCACCCTCCTTGAATGGGGAGGCAGCGAATCATGCGCGAATCCTGCGCCCAACCGCAATCTTGTTCAGCGCGGCCTTCTGGTGGACCTGTTCCTGCCGCAAGGCCTCCTGCGCCCGCTGACGAAGGGAATGCGGACGAGCGCGTGCCGAAGACCAGCGCGCGAGGAACTCCTGCTGAGCGTGTCGCGGCGGCGGCCCCCGCGGCGCGCCATGCCTGGCAAGCTGACAGCGTGTCGCGCTGCCTCGAGGGGACGGGAGGAAAAGCCGAACGTTGATGCCTGAGGGCTGGAGCGTGATCGGCATGTCGCGGCAGAGCGCTGTGGGCAAGAGCCGGCGGCGCGACACGCTGAGCAGAAGCTTCTGACCGCACGGAGGTGTTTGCACACGCTTTCCACCCCCCCCCCCTTCGTCCAGGAGGCGTCTCGTCGCCGCGGCTGGATCCGCCCCGAAGTTCTGATCGAAGCGCGCCCCTGGGCGGGTCCGAATGGGGCCTTTTGAGGGAGGGAGGAGGGGGAGGAGGAGGAGGAGGAGGAGGAGGAGGAGGAGGAGGAGGAGGAGGAGGAGAGAGCCACCAATGCGGAGCATCTTCCGGGCCAATTTAAGGCTAGGCGGGCTAGACCGTGGCCTCAATCTTATTTATAAGATACACGCGTTTATAGATTCTAGCAAACACCCGCACTTGACAAGCTTACGATTGCACGCATGTACGCACATACCCAAACGTGCCATGAGCGGAAGAAGTAACACGAAGGCGGACCGAGCATCTACACATCACCGACAAAGGTACGCCCCCGCAAATCCGACGCCACGCAAGGCAAAACAATACAAAACCGCGAAATGATGAATGATTAGCACGGGCAATGAAATTCAATAAGCATGGTGAATGCTATGTTAACTGGATGCACAGACAACCCATCACAAAGTAAAGAACCACAAATCAACGCAAGGAAAAGCTAACATAGCAACGGCAATGCAGTGCAACGCAGGGAACCCACACACACATCAGAACAACGTAAAGACACGCTGCGAAGCATCATCAAGCAGCACAAGGGCAATGCAAAGCAACGCATAGCGACACACTGCAAGAAATCCGACAACCTCGACACCCCAGGGAACACGGAGTTCGGATGGCGCCGGGACGGGGAATCCGATGAAGCCCTGGGAACTTGGGCTGGAAGTCGTAGGTGACACCAGGTCCCCTGCATCGAGGAACGGCTAGAGAGGAAAGGGGAGAACGAGGAGGGAACCGGGAGGAAGAAGCGATAATACAGGTCGCAGCAGCGATGCAAGAAAAAATCAGCAAAGGGACGGCGAAAGAGAAGCAGAGGAGGGGGAAAAAGGAAGACGGGATGGGGGAGCAAGGAGGAAATGAAGAGGAGGGAGGAGAAAAAAGGTACGATCGAAGCGGGCGGGAATAAAGAGGAGAGACAGAGAAGCTAAGAGGCCGTCGTGGGGGTCTTGTGGACCCGTGGGGCACAATCTAAAGAAAATAACGGAACCGAATTATTTGTGTCTGTGTTTGATTCCGGCGAACTGGGACACTTGTACTGACTCTCAAGAGACCCGATGGGTGGCACCTTGGAAACTGGGACCTTGGGCGGGCAGGGAGTCACGGTCGCCGCCTGTCCGACACCGCGTTAAGAACAAAATTCGATGGACAAACTGCGAACCCCAAAATTAAGTCTTGCAACATCTGTTTTGAAACAAATGCCTGCGCTCGCGCTACCGCGAGTTCTTGTTTATGTGTTTCAACAACAAACCCAACACAGTCGTCAATTTAAGCCATACGGGCCCCTCGCACCGCACGTCGAAATCACTCGAACGCCCTCGCGCGCGTGCTGGGGGGGGGGGGGGGGGGCACGATCCGTTCAAATAACACCATGCGGGCCACTCTCGGGCGTCGGCCGCGCGCATGTCCAACTCCCTCCGAAACCTTCATCACCAACGCGAGGGCGCCATCATCGCCGCCAGCGTGATCAGCATCGGCGCCGTCATTGGCCGCGCAGTCACCGTTGCCATCATCGTCACCAGTACCGCTACCATCATCATCGCGTCTCCCGTTGCCCACGTTGCCATGATACCGCACCCGCTCAACTCGCCGATTGGCACTGAAGTGCTCGCGGGGAAGTGCCCAGCGGTCAACGCCGCCACGGCCGCGTCGGTAGTGCCAACCATCTGGCCGCTGAAGGCCGCAAAGATGCATGAGCCAACTTCAGGCACTCATCGCAATCGACGCCGCATGGGTTTTGCAAACGAAGTTGCGGGCGAATGGGTGGGATGATTGCGCGAGCAGTGGAGTGGCCAACTCACTGCAAACAGAAATAAGCTGCATCTCATAGATTGCACCATACATTCTCCTTTCTACAAAATAGGGTCTACCACCCTCCCCCCCGGGTTTGAAAACCCCCCCGGAACAAATGGAAAACACATAGGATTCTGACCCAATGTCCATCCTAGCTGCGAAGTCATACTATCCCAGACACACCAGGATCGGTTCCCCCCGCCATCCTCTACAAAAAATTCTTTGCGCGCACACTCGTGTATCAAAAACCGCAAGTTTTCAAGAATACTTGGCAGAAGCTGGGGCGAAATGCACAAGCGCGCGTCGTCGTGCGCGCACGCCGGAATCCTTCAAAAACCTACAGCTTCGCAAAAAAACAAAATCGAGTTCCCAAAAAAAATCACAAAACAGGGGGTTTCGCAACACTGTTTCTTTACAAAACCACTTGCGCGCGCTCTTGCGAAATCTTTTGAAAACCATTGGCTTTTGAACACTTTCAAAACAATACTACCAAACGGGCTTCGCGCGCGCATGTCGAAATCTTTCGAACGCCCTTGCGCGCGTGCCGTCGCGAGAATCCTCTGCAAAAAACAGAGCGGAAATCGCACGCATGCGTCGTCGCGCGCGCATGCCGAAACCCTTCAAAAACCTTCGGCTTCGGAAAGATTTCAAAATCGAGTGTCCAAAAAAAATACAAAAAAACACACACGGCTTCGCGCCACGGATTTTCAACAAAAGCGTGCGCGCGCGCTCTTGCGTCGTCGTCGTCGTCGCCGTCCTCCCTCCTCCCTCGTCGTCGTCGTCGCCGTCGCCGTCCTCTGTCTTTCCTCGTCGTCGTCGTCGTCTTGACGTCGTCGTCGTTTCCGTCGTCGTCGCCGTGGTCGTCCTTCCTCCCTCGTCGTCTGAGTCGGCGTTTCGTCGTTGACCTTCCTATTTCGTCGCCGTCGTCGTCGTCGTCGACGTCGACATCCCTCCTCCCCCGTCGTTGTCGTCGTCGGCGTCGCAGTCCTCCCTCCTTTTTCGTCGCTCCCGTCGTCGCCGTCCTCCCTCCTTCCTCGTCGTTGTCGTCGCTGCCGCCGTCATCGTCCTCCCTCCTCCCCCGTCGTCGTCGTCGTCTTCGTTGGCGACGTCGTCGTCGTCGTCGTCGGCGCGGTCGTCGTCGTCGTCGTCGGCGTCGTCGTCGTCGTCGTGGTCGTCGTCGGCGTCGTCGTCGTCGGCGTTGTCATCGTTGTCGTCGTCGTCGGCGTCGTCGTCTTCGTCGGCGTTTCGTCGTTGACCCTCCTACTTCGTCGCCGTCGTCGTCGTCGTCGTCGTTTTCCCTCCTCCCCCGTCGTTGTCGTCGTCGGCGTCGCAGTCCTCCCTCCTTTTTCGTCGCTCCCGTCGTCGCCGTCCTCCCTCCTTCCTCGTCGCTGTCGTCGTTTGCCCCGTTTCGTCCTCCCTCTTCCCTCGTCGTCATCTTCGCCTTCGTTGGCGACGTCGTCATCATCGACGTCGTCGGCGTCGTCGTCATCATCGGCGTCGGCGTCGCCGTCGTCGGCGTTGTCATCGTTGTCGTCGTCGTCGTCGGCGTCGGCGTCGTCGCCGTCTTCGTCGTCGTCGTCGTTGTCGGCGTCGTCGAAGTCGTTGGAGACGTCGTCGGTGTCGTCGTAGTCGTTGTCGACGGCGTCGTCGTCATTGTTGCTGTCGTCGTCGGCGTCGGCGCCGTTGCCAAGTGCCACTTGGCACCCACCGTCACGGTCTTAAGAGGTCTTGCGGCCAAGTTGCGGGTGAGAGGGTGGGATGTTTGCACGAGCAGTGGAGAGGACCGCTTCAAGTTGAACAAGTGACTGATTGCACCACATAGGTTGCACCACATATGTTGCACAACATACGTTGTACCACATACATAACCGATATTGATCCACATGAGTTGCCCAACACATATTGCGCCACACCGATCGCACAACAGAGGTTGCACCATATAGATTGCGCAAGAGAGATTGCACAACATGGATTGCACAACCTAGATTGCAACACGCAGATTGGGCCGCACATGGTGATGTGTAGATATGGACATCCCACACACACACACACAACAGCACGCATTCCTGATTTTTTTTCTGTTGACGATGTTATACGTTCCTCTTCCTTCCCTTACCCCGCCTTGTTACACTCCCTTTCCTTTCCCTCCCCCTCCTCGCTTACATCCTCCCCTGACGCCAGCGGGTACGTTTTTCGACTCCACTCGCGCGCGCGCGCTCTGGCCGCTAGGCTGGCCAACGCGAAGCGGCAGCGCAGTGTAGAAGATGTACGCGGCGCATTCCCCCGAAGAGGGAACCCAGAGTTTGTGGCGACATTTCTGCACGCACGATGGGCCGCCAAAGAGGCACCGAACCCTGCGCTGTCACTAGGACGCTTGGGATTTTTGGAGATTAATCCCACAAACCGCATGATTTCACAGGGATGCCTGGGATTCCTGGGACTTCCGACCCCGACAAAATCAACCCAGAGACCCTCCCCCCTCGGGCGCGAATCCTAAGCACCCCAATGGCTTCACAGGGTTCGCGACGGCCGGGGGGGCCCAAACCCTGCGATGTCATTCAGGTGCTTTGGATTTCTGGAGCGTACATCCCAGGAAGCCCTATGATTCCACTGGGATGCTTGGGATTGCTGGAATTTCTGGGGCTCCGAATTCTGGAGGCACCAGGGTAGATTCTGGTCGGAGGGCGGGGGATCCCAGGAACCCCAAGCATCCCAGTGAAATCAGAAGGTGCCTGGGATGCACACACCCCAAAAATCCCAAGCATCCCAATCAAATCATAAGGTTTGGGCCCCCCTGACGTCGCGAACCCTGTGAATTCACGGGGATGCTTGGGATTCGCGGCCCTGGGGGGGGGCCGTGGGGATTTGTTTTTCGGTGGTCGGAAACCCCAGGAACCCCAAGCATCCCCAGAAACCCCAAGCATCCCAATGAAGTCACAGGTTTCGGTGCCTCTTGGGCCCCAGAAGAGGCGGACGGGGAGGAGAAGGAAGACGAAAAGGAGGAGAAGGGGGAGGCGGAGACGGCGGAGGAAAACTCAGAGGAGGAATCGGGGCATGCTGCGGCGTGCCATGCAGGGAAACCCAAGCGCTCTACACACGGTGACGCGGAAACGAACTGAGCGGCTGCATGAGAGATGCTGCTCGCTGATGCTCCCTGCTGCTCCCTGCTGTTCCCTCGTAGTATATGCTGCTCCCTGCTGGTCTCTGTTTGCCGTTCCTGATCTCTGCTGCTCTCTGCTCCTCTCTGCTCCTCTCTGCTGCCCTCTGCTGCTCTCTGCTGTTCTCTGCTGCTCTCAGCGGCTCTCTGCTGCTCTCTGCTGCTCTCTGCTGCTCCGTGCTGCCTTCGGCTGCTCTCTGCTGCTCCCTGCTGCTCTCTGTTGGCCCCTGCTGCTTTCTGCTGCTCTCTGCGGCTTTCTGCTGCTCTCTGCTGGTCGCTGAGGCTTCCTGCTGCTCTCGGCTGCTCTCTGCTGCTCTCTGCTGCGCTCTGCTGCCCTCTGCTGGTGGTTTCTGGTCTCTGCTGCTCTCAGCGGCTCTCTGCTGCTCTCTGCTGCTCGCTGCTGCTCTCTGCTGCTCTCTGCTGCTCTCGGCTGCTCCCTGCTGCTCTCTGCTGCTCTCTGCCGGTTTCTGCTGCTCTCTGCGGCTCTCTGTTGCTCCCTGCTGGTTTCTGCGGCTCGATGCTGCTCTCTGCTGGTCTCTGCTGGTTCCTGCTGCTCTCGGCTGCTCTCTGCTGGTACATGCTGCGCTCTGCTGCTGTCTGCTGGTCTCCGTTGCTCCCTGCGGCTCCTTGCTGCTCTCTGCGGCTGCTGCTCTCTGCTGGTCTCCGATGGTCCCTGCTGCTCTCTGATGGCCTCTGCTGATCTCTGCTGCTCTGGGGGAAGAAGCATGCAGGATAACCAGAAGTGAACGGAGGAACAAACATCGGAGAAAGGATGCAGAGGAAGGGCGAAGGAGCGGGGACGGATGAAGAGAGGGAGGACGACCAGTGAGAGCAGGAATGGCCGCCTCAACGACTGATGCAAAATCAGTACGTACTGGGGGGCTGCGCTTTTATATTTGTATATATATACACATACACCTACACATAAATACATACAGACATACATACATACATACATTCATACATACATACATACATACATACATACATACATACATATATACATACATACATACATACATACATACATACATACATACATACATACATACATACATACATACATACATACATACATACAGACACACACATACATACATACATACATACATACATACATACATGCATGCATGCATGCATGCATGCATGCATACATACATACATACATACATACATACATGCATACATACATACATACATACATGCATGCATACATACATACATACATACAAACATCCATACATGCATGCATACATACATACATGCATGCATGCATGCATGCATGCATACATATATACATATATGTACATATACCAATTCATATATATATGTATATATGAATATATGTATATATATGTGTGTGACATGCATACAAATATACCTATACATATATATATAGAGAGAGAGAGATTGCACAACTGGAGCTGCTAGAAACACAATGTCTGGGGCCCACGCTGGCTGACGTCTGAGCTCACTCAGAACCACAAAGGGGGCCCGAAGGCCAACCAAACCGTTACCCCGACGCGCCCCCCTCGGATCCCGGGCGGCGGCGGGGGGGAGCGGGGCGGGGCACGCCCGCAGCTCGAGCATGGAGTGGATCACCTGCGCGGGACCGCGCGGAGACCGCGCGCGCTCTCCGCGAGGAGACCGACGGGCGCCCTCGCCCCGGAGAGCACCTCGGGGGCCCAAGGCCCGGGAGCCCCCAAAGGACGCGCGCGCCCAACCGCGTCCGGCGGCGCGCGCCGGGGGGGCAGCGCGAGAGGAGGGGAACCAAAAGTGGCATAAACATAAAAACTCGGAGGTCCGCGCGGATTTCTCGGATCGGCGCTGGACCCCCCTCCCTGGCGCGCGGAGCGCGCCAGGGGCGGCGCCGGAGGCGCCGCCGGGGGGCCCCAGCGCCGATCCGGGAAATCCGCGCGGACCTCCGAGTTTTTATGTTTATGCCACTTTTTGTTCCCCTAGAGGGGGGGGCGGCCTCCTCAGAAGGCGGAGAGCTGCTCGTATGGGCGCCTCCTCGGAAGCCCTCCCCGGCCTCGAAGGGCCTTCCTGGGAGGCCTCCGGGCCGCTCCGGGAAGGCCCCCCCTGGCTTCCCAGACGCCCCCTGGCTTTCTTCGAAGGCCGCCCCCCTCGCGCCGCCCACCGTGTGCGGGCCGCCGACGCGCACGTGCATAATTATACGGCCCCCCCGTCAGCGAGACCAGCCTCGTGAGACGGCCGCTCGCGCAGCGCATACTTTCGACACCAGCGTGGGATCGTGTGGTGGCGCCGTGCTGCCGGGCAAGGACTGCGCTTCGCCCCAGCTGCTCGGAGCGCGCGAGCGGATTGCCTCTGCCGCGCCGCGACGGAGAAACATGGTGGCGGCGGAACAGCACAGTGTCCAGAGCCCCCCACACCTCGAGTGCTGTGATGATGTCAACGACGTGGGGCCGAGCGCATGAGATAAGGATGCGCGGTGAGGATGCAGGGGCCTCGGAAGGCCATGTTGACGTAAAAGGTTGGCCAGCAGAAGTCGCCAAGGATGAACCGAAGGGGCAAGGATGCAAGAATAACCTTGCAAAATTGTTCATCCTTCCTATACGCTTTACCCATCGGTCGGAAGAAGTAGGTAGAAACATGAAGTAGGAAGGCGTTGAAAATAGAGAGTGTCCGCCCACCCCCGAAGGAGGGCGGAAGAGGTGAAGCCACTCGATCCTTGAAGCAGGAAGGCTTTTAAAGTACACCGGGATCTGGGAATCCAAAAATACCTACTTTCAGCGACCGATGGGTACCCTTGGAAAGTTGTTCAGACTTCGGTGCCACGCTCCAAGTGGGCACCTGATGGAGCTCTGGACACCCGTCGCGGGCCGCCGCTTTCGACAGCCCCCCCAAGGGGGGGCCTCCACGACGGGGCCTCCCAGCACGGGCCCGACAAAAACCAAGCTAGCCGCCTGGAGGTCTGGGAGCCCTGGGCCCCTGGACAGGTGAACAGACAACGACGGCAACATCAAAACTCAGAGGTCCGCGCGGATTCCTCGGATCGGCGCTGGGGCCCCATGGGGGGCAGAGAGGGGGGTTCAGCGCCGATCCCAGAAATCCGCGCGGACCTTCGAGCTGTTATGCTTATTTCAACGTTTTGTTCCCCGATGGAGGCCTGGGCCCCAGGACGTGTTTCGCGGCGCCTGGAAGTTCAAGCACCTCTCGCCGAGAATCTACCGACCCAAGACCGCCTCCTGGGGCGCGCGTTCCGGCCAGATTTGCCTGGGAGGATCCAGCCGTGGCCACGTGGGAGACCCGAGAGGCCCAGGAAGGGAGCAGACAAAAGAACCCCCCACCCCTCGCCCAAAAATTATTCACTGCAGGGAGCTCCCCATATGTGCATCTCATGTTTTATGCCATAGCGAGCGTCTGTTCATGAGCGCTTGACTATAATAGCGCGTCCACGTGGGCGACAGGGCCGACGAAGACGAGTGAATCCTAATGCGACTGAGTGAGTATGAGTCAGAGTGAGCTTTGAATATGATTGAATATGAGACTCCCATTCATTCCCCCTCCTCAAACTGGCCGCGAACGGGCCCGTGAAAACACCCCTGGTGGCTCCCCTCAGGGGTGCTGAAACCAGCGCCCCGCCTGAGACTTCCTGAAAATCTGATCTGAAAGCCAAAGATGTTGGGCATGAAAACGAGCAAACCGCCTGAGACATCCCCACAAACTGGCCGCGAACGGGCCGGTGAAAACACCCTTGGCGGCTCCCCTTAGGGGTGCCGCGAACGGGCCCGTGAAAACACCCCTGGCGGCTCCCCTTAGGGGTGCTGAAACCAGTGCCCCGCTTGAGACATCCTCAAAATCTGCTCTGAATGCCAAGGATGTTGGGCATGAAAACGAGCAAACCGCCTGAGACATCCCCACGAAATGGCCGCGAACGGACCCGTGAAAACACCCGTGCGGCTCCCCTTAGGGGTGATGAAACCAGCGCCCCGCCTGAGACTTCCTGAAAATCTGATCTGAAAGCAAATGATGTTGGGCATGAAAACGAGCAAACCGCCTGAGACATCCCCACAAACTGGCCGCGAACGGGCCAATGAAAACACCCCTGAGGCCTCCCCTCAAGGGTGCTGAAACAAGCGCCCCGCCTGAGACATCCTCACAAACTGCTTTGAAAGCCAGGGATGTCGGGCATGAAAACGAACAAACCGCCTGAGATATCCCCACAAACTGGCCGCGAACGGGCCCGTGAAAACACCCCTGGCGGCTCCCCTTAGGGGTGCTGAAACCAGCGCCCCGCCTGAGACATCCTCAAAATCTGACCTGAAAGCCAAGGATGTTGGGCATGAAAACGGGCAAACCGCCTGAGACAGCCCCACAAACTGGCCGCGAACGGGCCAATGAAAACACCCCTGAGGCCTCCCCTCAAGGGTGCTGAAACAAGCGCCCCGCCTGAGACATCCTCACAAACTGCGCTAAACGCAGACGGGTCTGCCCACAAGAACAGCCCAACCGCTCGAAACATCCCCACAAACTGGCCGCGAACAGGCTCGTGAAAACACCCCTGGCGGCTCCCTGTAGTGGTGCTGAAACCAGCGCCCCGCCTGAGACATCCTCACAATCTGCTTTGAACGCAAACGAGTCTGCCCACCAAAACAGCCAAACCGCCTGAGACATCCCCACAAACTGGCCGCGAACGGGCCAATGAAAACACCCCTGGCGGCGCCCCTTAGGGGTGCTGAAACAAGCGCCCCGCCTGAGACATCCTCACAAACTGCGCTAAACGCAGACGAGTCTATCCACCAGAACAGCCAAACCGCCTGAGACATCCCCACAAACTGGCCGCGAACGGGCCCGTGAAAACACCCCTGGCGGCTCCCCTCAGGGGTGCTGAAACCAGCGCCACGCCTGAGACATACTCCGAATCTTCTGTGTGTTGAATAAGTCTGCGTATGAGTAAGTCTGACTATGAAAAAGTCTGAGTATGAGTCAGTCTGTGTTTGAGTAAGTCGGTGTATGAGTACGTCTGGGTATGAGTAAGTATGGGTATGAGTAAGTATGTGTATGAGTAAGTCTGTGGATGTGTACGTCTGGGTATGAGTAAGTCTGAGTATGAGTAGGTCTGAGTATGAGTATGTCTGGGTATGAGTAAGTCTGTGTCTGAGTAAGTCTGGGTATGAGTAAGTCTGAGTAATGTCTAAAAACGGTTAAAAAAAGAATCTGGGGGGGACAGTTTAAAAAATAATTATTCGCGGCGCTGCAGTGCGCATATAGAAAACAAAAGGAAGGCCGGGCAAACCGGACCGCCGGGGACGTCCCCGCGACCGCCCTGGCACTCCGCGTCCAGGGGCAGATTCCTGCGTTGGGTTTGCGCGGGGGGGCATGTCTTTGGAGACCCCCCACGTCAACGACAATCGGCACCGACACCCGGCGCGTCAACGACGATCGACGCCGACACTTGGCACCGACGCTCGGCACCGACACTCGGCGCCGACACTCGGCAGTCACACTCGGCGCCGACATTCGGCACCGATACTCGGCGCGCGCACTCACCATGCGTGCACTCTCAACCCCATCGCCTCACCAGAGTGCACTCTGGGCATCCAAAGGGGGATGCCCAGAGCGCACTGACCCACGCATGGCGACTTTCCCATCGCAAACAATACACAAACCGCCACACGCCCGCGTCGGCACATTGTAGGCTGCACCGATAAACGAATACGTGAAGACCGCATTCCAACTTGGAAACCCAATCGGCAACCGCTGGAAAAGGTTCGCTTCAGTTCGCAGGCCAGCACGGCGACATTCGTATTGCGGGCAAAACAGGAACCGCCACGCGAACACGCGCGTCGGCGCATTGTAGGTTGCACCAATGGATGAAAACAAAACGGAGAATCCCATCGGCGACCGCTAAGGGTTCATTTCTAGTTCCCAGACCAGCATGGCGACGTTCCTATTGCGGGCAACACAGAAACCGCCACGTGCGCTCGAGCGCGTCGTCGCACTGTAGGCTGCACCAAAACGTTACGACCGCATGTTAAGTTTGGAACTCCTATCAGCAAGCGCTGAGAGATCACTTTAGCTCCCAAGCCAGCATGGCGACTTGTCCAATTTCTGCCAATACAGAAACCGCCACGCGCGCGTGTCGGCGCATTGTAGGCTGCACCAATAGACGAAAGCGTAAAAACAGCATGTGAAGTTGGAAATCAAATCGGCAAGCGCTAAGGGTTCAAGCTAGTTCCAAGGCCAGCAAGGCGACTATCCTATTGCGGGCAAAACAGGAACCGCCACGCGAACGCGCGCGTCGGCGCATTGCAGGCTGCACCAAAGGACGAAAACAAAACGGAAAGACCGCATGTCAAGTGGGAAATTCAATCGGCAACGACAGCAAGTTCACGCCGCACGCGCGCGCGGGCGCGTCGGCGCATTGTAGGCTGCACCGATAGACGAAGACGTAAAGACCGCATGGTAAGTCGGAACACAAATCGGCAAACGCTGCAGGTTCACTTGAGCTCGCAGGCAGGCATGGCGACTTTCCGATTGAGGGCCGCCGCGCGCGCGCGCGGCGGGCCACGCGCATCTTGTATGGAGAAAACACCATGCGCGAGACGCCAGAGACGCAGCGCGCGCCGCGGCCAACG